ACAGGGAATGGACGTCCGAGCGATGGCGAGAATGTGCGGGGTAGCATGGAAGGAAATCGCAATATATTCGAATATGGGATCCAACTGGAATCAGCTGGGTCTGTGACCTGTCCACTTCGAATTGCATCTCAGGCGATCCGAACAGGAATCGCATGGGAACCGGCTGTATCTGTGATTTGGACCTGTGGTCTGCTCGCTCACTTCCATCTAGATCCTATTTCAATTCGGAGGGCACCAACTATACACCAACACCGATCCTGGCCCAGGATCGCCCTGGGCCCAGGATCGGTGTATATGCCTTCTTGCGCAAGGCAGGAGGGCGTATACACCGATCCTGGGCCCAGGGCGATCCTGGGCCAGGATCGGTGTTGGTGTATAGTTGGTGCATTCCTATCAATTGCAATCAGGATCCCACCTGGACTCAGCTGGATCTGGGATGTGCCCAATTCCAATCAATTTCTCAGCCCCAATAGAAATCAAGCTAGACTAAGCTGGAGATCTGTTCCATTACAATGGATATTCAATAAGATTCCAAAATAATGCTGCCTTGAATCGCCTGGATCTGGGATCTGTTCCACCCCAAGTAAGTCCGAATTATGTCCCATCAGGAATATATATATATATGGAATCAGCTGGATCTGGGATCTGCCCGATCCTAATTCGAGTCGAATTAGATTTCAATCGGGATCAATTTGGAATCAGCTGGTTCCGGGATCTGCATTATGTCAATACGAGTCCTAGCATATTCCAATTTCGATGCATATTGAATCAAGCTTTGCCGGGGATTAAGATTCATTCGGTCCCAATATCAATCTAATTATCAGAGGAATCTGGGTAGCGCCCCTCCCCAGTGATTGAATCATGTTCCAAGAGGAAGTGAATCGTAACACATCTGGAATAGTTGTTTCCCCATATCCTAAGATGGGGTTCTTGTTATTACTTGGACGCCTCCTACTCCTCATTCCTCTTCTTCTCCTCTTCCTCCTCATACCTAGACCTACTCATACACAGACTTACTCATACACAGACTTACTCAAACTCAGACCTGAACATATTAACTTATTCATACTCCGACCTACTCATACTCAGACATACTCATACTCAGACTTACTGTACTCCTGCTGAGAGTCACTCATACCCAATTTACTCATACTCAGACCTTCTCATTGTCTGACTTACTCAACGCAGCAGATTGTGAGGATGTCTCAGGCGGGGCGCTGGTTTCGGCAACCTTAAGGGGAGCCGCCAAGGGGTATGACACGGTCCCGTTCGCGGCCGTTTTGTGGGGATGTCTCAAGCGGTTTGCCCGTTTTCTGTCCCAACATCCTTCGTTTGGAGAGCAGATTGTGAGGACGTCTCAGGCGGGGCCCTGGTTTCAACACCACTACGGGGAGCCGCCGATTGCACGGTCTCGTTCGCGGCCGTTTTGTGAGGATGTCTCAAGCGGTTTGCCCGTCTTCTGTCCCAACATCCTTCGTTTAGAGAGCAGATTGTGAGGATGTCTCAGGCGGGGCGCTGGTTGCAGCACCCCTAAGGGGAGCCGCCGAGGGGTATTGCACGGTCCCGTTCGCGGCCGTTTTGCGGGGATGTCTCAAGCGGTGTGCCTGTTTCCTGTCCCAACATCCTTCGTTCGGAGAGCAGATTTGGAGGATGTCTCGAGCGAGGTGCTCATGTTCCCCCCCATGTGGGCCAGATGTTGAGGATGTCTCGATCGGTTTGCTTGTTTTGGTGGCCAGACTCGTGGGCACATATTCTCCCCAGGATGCCACAGGAGGCTCCAACAGGCCCCAGGAGGCCACATGAGGTCCCAGGAGGCATCAGGAGGCCACATAAAGATTCAAGAGGCCACAGGATGCCCCAAGAGGCTCCAGGAGGCCCCAGGAAGCTCCAGGCGGCCTCAGAAAGCCACAGGAGGCCCCAGGAGGCGACAGGAAGCGCCAGGAGGCTTCGGAAGGCAACAGGAGGCCCCGAGAGGCCCCAGGGGCAGGAGGCCTCAGAAGGCAACCGGAGTGGCTCCAATCCCATGTGTTTTATGTATGCTCCTGTAGAGTGGGCCTCACCTGGAGCACGAATCCGTGATGGTATACGTATGTTTCTATAGATTGCCGTTCTCCTGTGTACACAATCCTAAATATTTTATGTATGTTCCTACAAATTGGGCCTCTCCTTGGGCACGAGTCCTTGGTGTTTTACGTGTGCTCCTATAGATTGCCATTCTCCTGTGGCTCCAATCCGCAATGTTTTAGGTACGTCCGTTCCTATAGATTGGGCCTCTCCTGGGGCACGAATCCTCCCTGGGAGGTCCCAGGAGGCCCCAGGAGGCCCCAAGAGGCTCCTGGAGGCCCCAGGAAGCCCCAGTAGGTTTCAGGAGGCCCCAGGAGGCGCTCGTACTACAGGCTCATTCACGCTCCGATACATTTGCAGTTAGATTCATGACCAGACCGTCACAACTCAAGCCCGCTTATATTCGAAAACTCCTGCGCCTAGACACTCACGGCGGACAGGTCCATGCGAATAGATGCACGTATGGGGAGCTCCACGCAGTGAATGATGTCTCTCTCTCTCTCTCTCTCCGTCTCGCTCCCTCTCTCTCTCTCTGTCTCTCTCTCTCTCTCTTTCTTTTTCTGTCTCTGTCTCTCTCTCTCTCTTTCTCTATCACGCTCTCTCTCTCTCTTTCTCTGATTGTTTTTCTTATGTCCCTCTCTCTCTCTTTTTTTTTTTGTTTTCTCTCTCTCTCTCTCTCTCTCTCTCTTTCTCTCCCAAACACCTAGCGCAATCCATGTGAACACACAGGGTTTGCGACGTTGGCGATGCGCAAACCCTGCGATTTCATTGGGGTTCCTGGGATTCCTGGGTTGCAAGTCCACCACACACGAGTTTTTCATTTGGATTCGTGGGGTTCCTGGGATTTCAAACCGTGGAACAAAACCAATTTTGGAATCCCCAATTGGTACAGGGCTCAGAACCCCATACGTCCAAATGAAATCACAAGGGCCGTGGTGTCGGTGATGCGCAAACCTATTTCATATGGGATTCCTGGGATTTCTGGGATGCAAATCCACCGCGCGCATTGGCTTTTCATTTAGATTCCTGGGAGTCCTGGGATTTCAGCCCTGGACCTTCGGGGGCCCCAGGGCTCGTACTTTGGTTTGCTTTACGGCTGAATATCCAAGGGATCCCAGGAATCCCGGTGAAAAGCCAGCGCGCGGTGGATTTGCATACCATAATCTCGGGAATCCAAGTGAAATCACAGGGTTTGCGCATCACCGACGTCGCGAACCGTGTGGTTTCATTGGGATTTCTGGGATTCTGAGCCCTGTGCTTATTGGGGATCCCAGGGTTGGTTTTGCTCCAGGGTTTGAAATCCCAGGCATCCCAGGAATCCCAATGAAAAGCCAGTGTGTGCGCGGTGAGCTTGCATCCCAGAAATCCCAGGAATCCGAATAACATCGCAGAGTTTGCGCATCACCGACATCGAACACGCTATGATTTCATTGGGATTCCTGGGATTCTGAGCCCTGGACCTCTGGGGATCCTAAGGTCGGTTTTGCGTAAATTCTTGAAATCCCAGGAATCCCAAGAATCCCAATGAAAACCATGTGTCGTGGATTTGCATCCCAGGAATCCTAGTAACATCAAAGGGTTTGCTGCTTTCTCGTCTACAGGATGGCGGGGTATTGGGTGGGGGCCTGATTTGGGCCTCTGGGGGCCTTTAGGGTGCCTCTTGGGGCACCTCGGGGGCTTGTGGTGGCATCTTGGGGCCATTTTGGGCGGAGGGATCAAAATCTCAGCTCGTGTTCCTCGTTTGGGGCCCCTCTTGGGGGTCTGTTGGGCCCCTCTTGGAGGCTCGTGGGCCGTTTCGGGGCGATCCAATGCGCTAGTCAGGCCGTCGTGGACGCTCTGACGGCCGGAAAGGCGGCAATACGAAAACCATACAAAAACCCATCGAAATTGACGATTTGGGTCTCTTGGGCCGCATTCCGGGGCCTCCAAGACGGCCCAACAAGCGCCTAAGAGGGCTCCAGGCTCCAGGACGGTCCTTGGGGCCATCTGAAATCATGCTGGACATGTGTCCCGAACAACGCGCTCTTGGCTTTCCGGAAAAGTCATACGGGGACCGCGCGAGAGTGCTCAAGAGCGCCCAGGAGCGCCCGGGAGCGCGCGGAACTCCGTGCCGTGGGCCCCATTTCAAGAGAATCCACAATTCTGAACAGAGAATTCGTCGGGACCTGAAGCCAGCCTGACACCTTCGGCTTCATTAGTTAGCTAATTTGGGCTGCGCGCCACTGGCGCGCCGGCAGAGGCAAGGCCACCAGCACGCCTACCTCTTTTCACCCTTTACCCTTTACTAAACCTGAGGACATTCCAACTCGTGCTTCAGGGCACGGTGGCGGATATCCGAACAGGGTACAATGATGGCGTAGTGGCATTGAATTGAAGCGGGTTCATCGAGCCACTAGGGCTTCAGGGCACGGTGGCGCATTAGAACATGATGGCGTAGTGGCATTGAATTGAAGCGGGTTCATCGAGCCACCATGTTCTCCGACACCATTTGCTCCGTCGGCTTATTCCGATATTTTTGCGCACGCACAGTTTCAGTAAGCGCGCACAATTTGGGGACAACCGCCGAAGGTCTCGGTGGGGATCGCTCGAAGGAATAATTACCAGCGTCGGCGATGTGAGCAGCTTTCACCAGATGCGGTCCTCCTCCTTCTCCCCATCATCCGCATCGTCCGCTTCCTTCTCCTTTCAGACTCGGCCAGAATGCTTACCTCTCGTGCCATGGCAATGTGAAAGCACCTTTGGTTGAGTTGCGTCGGCGTCAGTCCTCGGGCCAGTCCCAGTCAGTTACAGTGCCACCATCAGCGCGTTCGAGAAGAGCGGGCAGTGGCAGCAGGCCTTGTCCTTGCTAGGCAGGATGGGCGGCGCCAAGGTGGAGCTGGGAACCATCAGCTACAACGCTGCGATCAGCTCTTGCGAGACCGACGGGCAGTGGAAACATGCGTTGTCTCTGCTGGGCGACATGGGGGATGCGAGCATCGAGCTGTGGACCATCAGCTACAACGCTGGGATCAGCACGTGCGAAAAAGGCGGGCAATGGCAACACGCAGTGTCCTTGCCTCGGGTAGACGCGGATCCACCAGCAAGGGGTGGGCCAGGCTGCCGATCTAACCGATCCGCGGGCCGACCGCGATCGAGGCGATCGCGCGCCGGGCGCCTCGCGGTCTGAGCGAAGGAGAGCTTTCTCTTCTCCACGGGAGCCCGCGCGAGAGCGCCAAGGTAACGGCGCTTCGCGCGGCGTGGGGGGCGGGGTCCGGCGAGCGGAGGTCTCCGGACCCACGTCCCCGACGTCACGATTCTCATCCAGGCATTTTGCCTTGACTTCGGCTCGGGGGCCCGTTTTCGAGCCCCGGGTCCATGAAAAAAGGATATGAGGCGAAAGCTTCCGTTGGCAACAGGTCGGGACCTCCCTGGGGCCGCGCAGTGAAAAAGTCGTACCGCCGGGCCCCAGGGGCCTCTGGAGGCCCAGATGTGGCGGCGAGCTGTGGGGGCCCCGAGGTCCGAACCCTGAGCCTCGGCGTCGCGATCGGGCCGTGGAGCGGCCTGGACCGAGGGGGGGTGCTTCTGAGGTCCCTGCTCGGCGAGATGCTGGAGGCGAGGGTGGAGCCGAGCGTCACGTAGAGTTCCAGCGGGTCTCTGGGGGGGTTTGGGGAGTCGGGGCCGCCTGCGATGCAATTCGTCGCGATTCGATTTTCGATTCGCTGGCTGGGGCCGCGATTCCGACCCGCAGTGAGATGGGATGACTATTTGCGAAGATTCTCGAACTTATTTTGGAACAGACTGGCTAGAAGCGGCATTGACCAATGATTTTGCAACGCGCGAAGATGACTTCGTGCAATTTTCAATCGAGCACCAACAGTGATGCTCGAAGTCTCACACAGTCGCGCCCGATCCCGGGCCGAGCTTTGACTCGATCGGACTGCTTGCTTGCTTGCTTGCTTGCTTGCTCGATTCGGTTCGGCTCACCGGAGCCAGCCAGAGCCAGCCAGGGCCAGGCGGAGCCAGCCGCGGCGATCCGGTGTCGATTCGATCCAGAATGAACTGTCGGCCATCCGGATGCGTTTCCAATCCGACCCAGTCCCGCGGTTCGACACAGCTCATGCTTGGGAGTCCCAGGGCTGGGGGATGTGTCCCAAAGCAGTTCATCTGTGAGGGTTCTATGTCCCCCGAAGTCGGTGCTCCTCCTTCCCCCCCTCCTCCTCCCCCTCCTCCTCCTCCTCCTCCTCCCCCTCCTCCTCCTCCTCCTCCCCCTCCTCCTCCTCCCCCTCCTCATCCTCCTCCTCCTCCTCCTCCTCCTCCTCCTCCTCCTCCTCGTCATCGTGGCCCCCCGTGGTGGCTTCCCGTCGTGGATGACAGCGGAAGCCCATGCCAAGAGACACCCTGCTTGCCTCCAGGGTGCCCACTGGTTTCTTGGGTTTCGATGGTTTCGCGACGGACAGCGTGGCGCTCTCGCACCAAAAATCAGTGGACGTCCTGGGTCTCAGGGTTGGGTTTCCTGTGGAAGGCTCCTCGTGGTCGAGCTCCTACTGTATGTGAAGCTGATTATGGGAAACTGGGGCATGTGCATTACCAGTGGCGGGCAGTTTTTCAATCCCAGGACTTTTTGAGGGTCGGGGACGACGTCGGGGTGATGTGGTGTACACTTTTTTCCCCGTTTTCCCAGGGAAACAACGAAACAGGTATACACCAGGATCCCGTGTACACCAGGATCCGCTTTCCTGTGCGAATTTCAGTGCGGGGCGGGGAAAAAGCGTCGGTGTATAGAGTCTGGCTCCTTATTTTAGGACATGCTGCCGCAAGGTGTCGTTTTGTCGGTTTTCGGAGTTTGTTCTCCTTGCCACTGGCACTGGGCGCCAGCGAGACGGCGAGGAGGCCCCCAGCTGCGCTTCTCGAGGGCAGGGTCGGCCCTCTAACAAGCTTCCCAAGTGAGCGGCCAGTGGTTGGGCTTGGGGAGGAGGGAGATGTCGTGAGGAGGGGGAGACGGAGAAGGAGAAGGTTAAGGAGAAGGACGATGGGCAGGAGGGGGAGGAGGAGGGGAAGGGGTAGGTAGAGTGAGCAGGAGGATGAGGAGGAGGAGGAGCAGAAGCAGGAGGAGGAGGAAGAGGAGGAGGAGGGGACGCTGGTGGTGGTGGTGATGATGATGATGACGATGATGATGACGATGATGGTGATCAGGATGAGGAGGATGAGGAGCAGGAGGAAGCGGATGACGAGGGGGAGGAGGAGGTGGAGGAGGAGAGGGGAGTATGATTGAATTATCTAAGGTGGAGGAGTAGGTCTACGTCGTCCCAAGCAAGAAAACCAGTGACCAGGCGCGAGGAACTCAAAGTGTGCCAAACATGTGGGATCAAAACGAAGCGGAAGTACGAGTGTGAGACAGAGGAAACATGAACGTACGAACACATTTCGGAAACGTATGAAGCGAATTTCCAAATGTGTTCAAGTTGTTCTCCAACTTGCTTTAAACTTTTTTGGAACTTACCAATCCGGGCGAACTATTTTCAAACCTTTGCACATTTCCAAATTTGGGCAAACTTGTTACACTTTTCCAACTGCCGAACCCGGGCAACATTTTATGTTTTTGGTGTTGTTCATTTCCAGATTTGGATTAATGTTTCTAGCATTGTTCCAAACATTATTTCAAAGTGTGTTCAACGTTGTTTGCACATTCGAATTTGGGTGATCTTGTGTCAAATGTTCGATTTTTGTCCAATTTCCAAGTCTAAGCGAATTATGTTCAAACTTCTTTCAATATTTCCAAAGTGTTTGATGGATTTTCCAAATTTTCAAATCTGGACGAAGTTTTCCAAGCTTGTTCAAAACTTCTCTTAGACTTCCAGGTCTGGGCAGACTTCCCAAATTTCCAAATCCGTGCCCAGTCACACTCATACTTCGGTCGCTTCGCGATTCCACGCGTTTATCCTATCTATTTCAATTTGTTGTAGTGTTCAACAACAAAAAACGATTTCAACAGCTTGCCTGCTCTAGGGCGACATGAGAATAGGAGGAGGGGGGGGGAAGGAATAGGAGGAGGAGAAGGAGAAGGCGAAGGACGAGGGGGAGCACGGGGAGGAGGGGGAGGGGGAGGTAGAGGGAGCAGAAGGAGGAGGGGGCGGCAAAGATGCTGATGATGATGAGTATGATGATTAAGATGTTGATGACGATGATGATGAATCTGATGATGATGCTGATGGAGTTGATGGGGATGATGATGATGATGTTGATGGTAGTGGTGATGGTTGTGATGGCGATGATGATGACGATGATGATGATTGCAATGGTGATGGTGATGCTGACGGTGATGATGCTGCTGATGATTTTGATGATTATGCTGATGATGCTACTGATGATGATGGTGGTGGTGATGCTGATGATGATGGTGAGGAGGAAGCAGACCAGTGTATAACCAAGAAGCGTCAACGATGCTGTCATAAACTTTCCCTCCAAGTTCCCTCTCCATAGGTTCCTACGATCATATACTTTCGTTGCGGGAAGTGCCCCGTCTGAAGACAACTGCCGGATAATCCATAACCGTGCCACAACATAACATCTGAGACCTTAGCGCCACGAATCGACGTGGCTGTTGCGTCCGCACCTTTCGCAAAGGACTAACGACGCCATGTCTGGCACTCCGATGCCAGCATCTCCTCCCGGAGCGCCATTCCTGGCACTCCGAGGCCAAGAGACTTTAGGACTGTTGCGTCCGGTCGATCCGAAATCATGCCAGGAAGCCGTGCGCTCCTGGGACGGCAGCGCCGCGAATCAAAATGACTGTTGCATCTTGGCAAGCCTGCATCGCACCAGAACGCCATTCCCGCGATTTCCGCGGTCCCAGCCCTTGAGACGGTTGCGCACTTCCAAGACCCATGTGCGCTGCGCTAAGGCGAGAGCCACATTGTGAAAAAGGAACCGCTCTCCATAGTTGAAGCTTTTGTAAGCGTTTAGATCGGATGCGCGCGGCGCTAGAGCGAGAGCAGCATTTTGAAAACTGCCAGACTTCCACGCTTAAAGCTGTTGCAATTTTTCGATGCGCCGCGCGAAGGCGAGAGCGACAATTTGGAAACGGCCCGCCCTTCATCCGCGAAGCTGCTGCAATTTTTTGACGCGATTGTGCGCGGCGCTAACGCGAGAGCCAAATTTTGAAAACCTTTCGCCTTCCATCCATGAACATGGCTGCAGACTTCTATTAAGACAAATGTGCGTGGCGCTGACGCGAGAGCCGCAAGCCTTTCGCCCTCCACCCGTGAACGTGGCTGCCGACCTTGCAGGCGAAAGTGCGCGGCGCTGACGCGAGAGCCACATTTTGAAAACCATCCGCCTTTTATTCGCGAACATGGCTGCCGACTCTCAAGACGAATGCGCGCGGCGCCAGCGCGAAAGCCACATTTTGAAACCATCCGGCCTCTATCCGCGAACATCGCTGCAGACTTTTTAAGACGATGTTGCGCGGCGCCGCTGCGAAAGTCATATAACGGACACGCCCTCCATCCACGAAGCGGTTGGACATTTCGAAGTTCAGACCACGCGTAGGGAGGGGGTCTCGGGCGAAGCGCCCGGCCCGCCCTACAGGGGGTCAACAGGGAGGAGTAACTTATACGGAACACGGATGCAGGACGGAGAGGAAGAGGAGGAGGAGGGAGGGGAAGAAGAAGGAGGATGAGAAGGAGGAGGAGGAGGCGAATTAGGAAGAGGAGGAGGAGGTGGAGGATATGAGTGGGGAGTATGTTGTGGAGGAGGTAGAGCTAGAAAGAGGAGAGGGAGTATGAGGAGGATGCAGTATCATGAAAGCGTGCATTGGCAGGAGAGTTTCGTCGCCGTTTGGCTCAAGTGCTATAAGCCGCTATAAGCGTTTGGCTAAGTGTTACCTGCTATGTTTTTCACCGCCACCGTCCGGGTAAACAAAGGTTTCTGTTAACTTCGCAGGGCGGGGACGAGGATGGGGAAGCAGGGCGAGGAGGTTGGTGAGCAGGTGTAGGTCGACTGAAATACTTACGTTGGCCAGGGCTGACCAGCGGTGCTGGCCGGCAAGGGTTGGTTGGAGGGTTGGCCAGGGGATGTATTAGGGTATGTCTTCAGCAGTTCTTCGATACGACAGAGTATGACGATTTAGGCAGAGCCAGGCGGTGCCAGGACAACTGGGGGACGAGGAGGATAAAAAGGAGGAGGATGAGGAGGAGGAGCCAGGTGGAGCTAACGGAGGGGGGATGATGTAAAACGCTGGGGAGGAGAGCGGGGAGGAGGAGGACCAGCAGCACGTGAAGGACTTAGGGGGAGGAGCTAGGAGGAGGAGGAGGAGGAGGAGGAGGAGAAGGAGGAGCAGGACCCATGCCCCCGAGTACCAAATCCCTGGACTGCCAGATCTGCCGACCCATCCCCAGGACCGGGTTTTCGCTCCGGCGGTGTCTCGTTCTCTCGTGGCCTCGGGGCGCCAGGGCGGCCCCCGGACTCCGAGGTCGCGAAGGAAAGCGCCAGCACCGAAAAGCACCACGACGACGGAGGCCTGGGCCCCTGGAGGTGTCCAGAGGCCTCCCGGGCCCGAAGCGCCCAGAAGCTTCCATCATCGATCCTGCAACCTCGATCCCCGAAGGTCGATCGGAGGAGCAGGAGGAGCAGGAGGAATCGAAGACGAAAAGGCGGCACAAACAAACATTCGGCGGCCCGCGCGGATTCCTTCCCCCTGGCGGCGCCTCCGGCGCCGCCACTGGCTGGCTCCGCGCGACAGGGTCCAGCGCAGATCCAAGACGTCCGCGCGGAGCGCCAAAAGTTTACGTTTATGCCGTTTTGCTCCCGCGGTCGCGCGGTCGCGCTGCACAGGCATCCAGGTGACAGTGGTTCGGCGGCGCGAGGTGGTGACGCGAGGTGGGCGCGACAAGGACGAGGAGGAGGAGGAAGAGGAGGAGGAGGAGGGGGGGGACGGTGTTGATGATGATAGTGATGATGAGGAGGAGGAGGAGAAGGAGGAGGAGGAGAAGGATGAGCATTAGGAGGAGGAGAATGAGGATGATGATGATGAAGATTAGGACGAGGATGATGGGGATGAGGATGAGGATGAGGATTAGGACGAGGATGATGATGAGGATGAGGATGAGGATGAGGACGAGGATGATGATGATGATGATGATGATGATGATGATGATGATGATGATGATGATGATGATGATGATGATTATTATGATGATGATGATGATGATGATGATGATGATGATGATGATGATGATGATGATGATGATGATGATGATGATGATGATGATGATGATGATGATCAGGATGTGATGATCAGGAGGAGGAGGAGGAGGAGGCGGAGGAGGAGGAGGAATGGGTGACGCGAGGTGGGCGGCCCTCCAGGGCGAACCTGGCCTTTCAGAAGCCCTCCTGCCTCCTAAGAGGCTTTTTGTCAGGAGGCTTCCCTCTACGAACCCCCCTTTATGATGTTTTTTTTAGTCGGCCTCCCTCCTAACCTGCCTCCTGTCTGGGCGGCCACCCGCCCCCCCGCCTTCTTAGATGGCCGCCCCCCTCGCGTCAGCCCCTCCTGCGCGCCGCCAGGTAGGCGGACGTTGATCCGCGGGTCCCCGCGAGTCAGACGTTGATCCGCGGGTCCCCGCGAGTCAGCTACAACGCCGGGGTCAGCGCGTGTGCCAGAGGCGCGCGCTGGCAGCAGGCGCTGCGGCTGTTCCGCGAGATGAGGGCGGCGAAGCTGGAGGCCGACATCATCAGCTACAGTGCGGGAGTCACGGCGTGCGCGAACGGCGGGGAGTGGCAGCAGGTGTGTGCCTTGCTGCACGAGTTGGGGCAGTCGAAGCTGGAGTCCGACGTCATCATCTGCAGCGCTGGAATCAGCGCCTGCGAGAAGGGCGGCCGGTGGCGGGAGGCACTGTTCTTGTTCCACGGGCTGCAGGCGGCGACCATGGAAGCGAGCGTCGTCAGCTACAATGCCAGCATCAGCGCATGCGAGAAAGGTGGCCAGTGGCTACGGGCATTACGCTTGCTGGACGAACTACGAGGCGCGAAGCTGGAGGCAGACGTCATCAGCTACAGTTCTGGAGTCAGCGCGTGCGAAAAGGGCGGTCAGTGGCAGCAAGCGTTGTCCTTACTCTGTGAAATGGTTGAATCGCAAGTGCAAACGAGCGTCATCAGCTACAGTGCAGGAATCAGCGCGTGCGAGAAAGGCGGGAAATGGCAGCAGGCAATGTGGTTGTTCGGCGGTTTGTGCGAAGCGACGGTGGAGCCCAACATCGTCGCTATTCTACCGCCATGTGCAATGCGTGCGAGAAGTTTGCGATCTGGGACCAGGACATCCGGGCCAGTACCTCAGGATGCAGCTCTGACAGCGCAAGACGGCCCAAAGGCACGTCTAGAGATCTGCAAGAGGCTCCCAGGACAGCTTGGGAGATCCCAGGAGCCCGCCAAGACCGTCCAGGATTCCTCCAAGATGGACTGGCCAATAGGTTTCAAAAAGGGCCCCAGCCCGCAATCACAATACAGCTCCCTTGGGCCCCATCGCCAGCCCAACGGCGAGCATAACTCGGGCGTAGCCATGGGTTGCGCCACAGGTTGCGCGATGCATGGGTTGCGCCATCCACGGTTCGCATTGCATCATGGGTTGCGCTGCGCCATCCATGGACTACGCCATGCTTCATCCATGCTTATCGCCATCCGTGGGTTGCGCCATGGGTTGAGCGACTCATCGGTAGCGCCATGGGTGGCGCGGTTGCGCCATGGATTGCGCCATCCGTGGGTTTGGCCGTTGGTGGATTGCGCCTTAACTGGCACGCTGTGCTGCCAAACATAAGCAGGCACGATGTTTGTTGCGCCACGGGTCGCGAACTCGGCGGCAAAAAGGTTCGACCTGAAATTAGTTGCGCCGTGGGTTTCTCACTTGGCGGCCAGGAGCAAAAGGGCCTACTAGCGCCATAGGTCGCGCACTCGGCGGCCAGTAACACATCGTTCCGTGATGGGTTGCGCCATGAATTGCGAATTCTGAGGCTGATCTTAAAGAGGTGTGCTGTTTGTTGCGCCATAGGTTTGGCACTCGTGGCCGAATATGAAATTGCCTGCCAGTGGTTGCGCCATGGGTTGCACACTCGGCGGCCGATAGCAAAGCAGTCTGCTAGTTGTTGCGCCATAGGTCTGCACACTCGACTACCGAAGGCACGTTGACCTGCTAATGTGTGCGTCCAGTCCAGTCATCGCACCTCACGTGAAGCAAGCTCGGGCATACTCGAAAGACCCGTTAAGGTATTTCATAGATGTATGTGTCCAGGCTTATGGCCGCGAGCCGGAGGGCTTCTGACAGCCCCAGAGTGTTTCAATAAGCATCCAAGGCGCCCCTCAAGCAGCCCTACCCCGGCCAGAGTTGACCACATGGAGCTCCTGGCGGACAGCCCCACGACCCGCACAAGACCAAGGAGGGTCCTCGGAGAGCTCCGAGGCGTTTCAAGACAGCCAGTCACAAGGGCCCCAAGACGGGCCCCATTGTTTTCCAGTCTTTCTATTGCCATACACATCGAGCACTTTATTCGGCTTTTGTACACGTACATATACATGTATACACACATCAGTCTCTCTGACCTTATACTGCCCAAGATGGGCCCAAAACGGCCACACGATCAATTGCGTCATCGGCCTGCCCTGGATTTAATCCATTGGGCATCCTTGCTATATTCAGCTGCGAATATGGGATACGCGCGCGCGACAAAAGTGGGCAGTTCAGGTCGTTCCCACACGTCTCTTGCCGCTCATCAGCATCATTAAATTACCTTGAACAGTATGTCGACTGATCTATAGCTGTTTGGGATTAGAGATAAAATGCGCGCGCGACAACACATATTCTCTTTTCCGTATCCGCTTAACGGACAGTCGAACCTCATACTTCAACGGCTGACGCCGTAGACATTGCCGCCATGGTCTTTCGGGGGTCCTCGAGCCCAAGACGTTCCTTGGAGCCACTGCTAGGAGTGCCACATCTACTACCAGAACATCCTGATCATACTGGCCCTGTTGGCCTTAAGTTGGGTAAAGATGGGTTAGCATCCGAAAGTTCTGATCCAAGGATGACCGGCCATGTCGGTCGTCTTGGGGCCCACGACACCCATCCCGCAATAAATAACGAATGCGGGAAGGGACCTTGGCTCGTCAAAACAAAGTAAATCTGAGTTTCAAGTCGAAGGACCGTTATCCTCGACCTCTTAACGCATTCAAGATGAGGACATGTTAGACGGCATGCCCGCCAACCGCGGCAGGCGAGACGCCTGTGCCCGATGGCGACTCCCACGAGGAGGACGAGCGGCAAGGTAGCAAGGGCCGCCCCCGGAACCCCCTCGCGGATGACGTCGCCCAGGCTCACGTGGTCCACTCCAATTCGTCGGACGCAGAAGGAGCGGAGAGAACCCATAAAAACGGAAAAGAAACGTTCTCCGCGTCGAGCTGATCAGAGACGATCGAGGCGTCCATGGTCGAAAGGACGCCCGTGAAAGAGACTGCGGGCCATGTCCAAAGTCCGGCTGGGGAGCCAATCTGGGAAGACAATGAAGAGCAGCCAGGGGCCTCAGGGCCATCGCCCGGCGGGCCCGCCATGGAATCGTTCCACGGCAAGACCCCCAGAGAAGACCCGGCCGACATCAAGGTGTCGCCTTGCGAAAAGCGCCCTAAAATCGAGTCTGGTGGGCTAGGCGTCCACGACGCGCCCGGCCCGATCTCGGGGATCCGGGACAGAGGAAGGCAGATGCTCCAGTCACCGATTTCGGTCTCCCAGAGGTCAAGGTCTGGAAAAGGTGGCCCCAGCTTCCCCGAGAAGTTCTCGACCTGGCTCGTTTATCTCGCGATCGTCTACGCATTAGGGGGCCCTGCGCCAACTGGGGGCCGAACTGCGCGGGCGGCCCTGAGAGCTGCTGCCCCGGCCGCACTCTCAAGGGCGACCCGTGCAGCGAGCCAGCGTGCCGGGGGTGCTCATTCCAGCGTTCTCTGTGCAAATTGAACTACCTGTGCCCCGGCTGCGCCCCCCCGAAATTGCGCAATTGCTTCGGTCTCAAGAACCACGAATGGGAGCAGCAGCAGGAAGCGAAACAGCAGCAAAGAGAGCAAAAGTGCATTTCCGAGATCGTCGCCGCGCGGGCGACGACGACCGACATGGTAAACCAGAGGAAACATGCCGAAATGATCGCGCAAAGGGCTGAACAAGAAATGCAGGAGATCGCCCAGAGAAAAAGAAAGGGGAAAGCAATCCTCCGCGGGGCTGCGCTTTCGGCGGACCGAGCGGCCAAAGAACAGGCGAGAATTGAACGGGCTGTCGCTGAACAGGCGCGCCAAGCCCTCCGGGGGGCCCAAGACAGAGCGACTCAGTTCGAGGACAGCATTCGTCTGAAACTACAGGGGGCCACTGCGCTCCATGATCAAACGGTCTCTAAGGCGGAACAGGTCGCCGAGAAATTGATCGCTGAGCAGCGCCACTCGGGGGAAAGGGCTTTCAATACTGAAGAAATGGCCATGTCATCTCTGCGAGCCGCGCAGACAAAGCAACGACGGCTGGAGGCTGAGGCCCGTTTGTCGCCAGCTGGAGTTGCGAAGGTATATGCCGAACTCAACCGCGCCTCGGAGACTGCGACAGCAATCGGGTTGGAGGCCAGCGGGGATGCGGAAGCCTTTCGCCGGGCTCGAGCCGAGGCGGTCGCTGAACACGAATCGGCCTCCCGCCGAGCGGCTGAGCTGAGGTCCATGCACCAATGCGCTCAGGAGGCCGCGGCGACGTCTCGGGCTGGCCACGTCAGTGCGAGGAACGAAGCAGAAGAAACAATTCGAGCCATGCAGAACGCCGAGGTACAAGCTCATCTGGAAGTGGAGGCGGCGAAGCATCATGTCCAGAAGGAAGCTGTCACGACCATGCATGGGTGGGCGGCCCAACGCGAGATGAGTTACCGGCATCAGGCGCGGCAGCTCGTGCAAGACAACCTGGGGGGGCATGGCCAGCGCGGTCAGAAGGGCAGCGTCGGCGACCGCTACGCGGGTCCGAACTTCCGGAGGGCCGCCAGCCAGCGGGAAGGCCCCCGATCCAGACAGGCCATGTGACCGACGTGAGCCGATGCTTCATTTGCAATGGCCCCGACGCCCCACGCAGATGTCATAGGTGTGGAAGGCCGTTCTGTGAGCTGCATTTCGACGGGGTAGTGAAGCGTTGCCACCAGCGCGAGCAAGATAGAGCTCGCGACCACGAAGAAGCACTGATGAGGCAGCGAGAGTTAGAAGAAGATGCCCAGATGATGAGAATGATGCGAGAGCAGGAAGAGCACGCTCGGCCCAGAGGCGAGATCGGAGCCCAGGCGGAAGCCAGGACCGTCCGTCGCATCCGAGAACTTGAAGAAGCTGCAGAGCTCCGTGTGATGAAACTAGAAGAAAATGCGCGGACTTAAGCTAACGAGATGCGAGGGAAGGCCGAGGCGCTGATGCAAGAATCAGAAATCAGCGCGAAAAAGGCCGAACAAGATCACCGCGAGCACCGGGGGCTGGCTCCGAGTTTGGCGCAGGCGATGAAGGCAGAACAGAAATGAAGAAAAGGGAAGAGCCCGCGACAAATTCTTTTCCAGGGTGCACGCCGCCTGCCCAGCCAAAGAAAACAACGGCCCCTGCAGGAGACCTCGCAGGGGGCGATGACATACCGCTCCACCAAGGCCATGCCGAAGGTGGGGGTGAAAGGCCGGGCGGAAAGAAGGGCGGCGCAAGCGGTGCACCTGGAGGCGACGATCCCGGCGACGATAGTGACGATGACGGCGAGGGCGACGACTGCGAGCCGAGTGACGAAGAAGACTCCGATGAGGAGGAGTCCGACTATGAAGAGGAAGACGAGACAGAAGGCGAAGAAGATGGGGAGGCCGCCAACGAGAGGACAGGGCGCTACGCCGCTGCTCAGGGGCCCGATCAAGGCAATCCGGGCGGTGGTGGTCCACCACCGCCAGGCCCGCCTGGAGGAGGGGGCGGGCCAGGAATCCCAGAGCACGGGGGAATGATTCCACCCCGTGCCCCATGGGCAGCGGCGGACAGGATCGACGAGATCACGCTTAATTCCCTGCCTGATGCTGGGAGCTTCCGAACGTGGAAGCAATCAGTCATCAGGACGGTGGCCTCGTGCTCTCATCAAAACCACGTCTCGGCGTCAGAGTGGGTGGCCGAGGCCTTCGAGCCCAGGGCGGTGAAGGCCAAGAAGCTCGAAGACCCTGGCCCGCTTGTTGGGAATCTCGACATGGATCG